ATGGTTTCTATGAAAGTATTGCATTATTCTTAACAACCTGCTCCATGGAAACATGTAGCTCTTTCACTTACTGGGTAATTATCTGGATTAAAAAGTGCAGGGCAATGGGAAAAATCAGAGAAATGGGACTAGGCTAACTGCTTTTTCAGAGAATTGCACAGATTTTTAAAATATTTTTTCTCACTCTCTCATGGGAGGTGGGCATTGCTGACTGGGACAACATTTATTGCTCGTCCCTATAGTGGTAAGCTGCTTTCTTGAACTGCTGCAGTTCATGTGCTGTAGGAGGACCCATAATATCATTAGAGGGGAAATTCAAGGATATTGACCCAGCTACAGTGAGGGAATAATGACATATTTCCAAGTCAGGATAGTCAGCGACTTGTAGGTGGTGGTGTTCCCATGTATCTGCCCTTGTCATTCTCGATGGTAAGTGTCTTTGAAAGGTGCTGTCTGGTGAATTTCTGCAGTACATCTTGCAGATTATGCACACTGCTGCTACTAAGCATTGTTAGTGGAGGGAATGGATGCTTGTGGATGTGGTGCCAATAATGAAGGCTGTTCAGTCCTGGATGATATCAAGCTTCTTGACTGTTGTTAATGCTGCACCCATCCAAATAAATGGGGAATATTCCATAACACTCTTGACTTGTGTCTTATGGACAGACTTTGAGGAGTTGGGGGTGACTTATTCACTGCATAGTCCTGCCCTTGTAGCTACTATGTTTCTAGGGCGAGTCCAGTTGTGTTTATGGTCAATGTTAACTCCAAGGATGTTGACAGTGAGCATAATGCCTTTGAATGTCAAGGGGCTATAGTTAGACTGTCTGTTGTTGGAGATGATCATTGCCTGGCATTTGTGTGGTATGAATGTTAATTATCACTAGTCAGCCCAAGCCTGGTTATTGTCCAGATCTTATTGCGTTTGAACATGGACTGCTTTGGTATCTGAGGAGTCACAAATGATGCTGAACATCGCAGACTCATTGGTGAACATCCCCACTTCTGACCTTCTGAAGAGATGAAGCAGCTGAAGATGATTAGGCTAGAGTCACTGCCCTGAGGAACTTCCACAGAAACATCCTGAAGCTGTGATGACTGACCTTCAACAACTTAAACATCTTCTTATGTGCCAGGTATGACTAGAGATTTCCATCCCCCACCCCCACATTGATTCCTTTTTTGTTAGGCCTCCTTGATATCACATTTGCTCAAATGCAGCCTTGAAGTCAAAAGCTGTCATTTTCACCTTAGGAATTGAGCTCTTTTGTCCAAGGCTGTAACAGAGTGGACTGAATAGTCTATTTCAGTGCTGAAAACATCGTCCATAAATTAATCATAGAATTGTTACAAGAACACTCATTATGTCTGCGTTGGCTCTTTGTTAGATCAATAACTATGTTAAATTAATGCCCTCTAGTTAAGTCACCCATTGACCCTGCTAAATAAATGACTTTGGTATCACTCAAATATTAATAACACTACACTTTGCCAGTGTTTATTTAAGGTAAACTCATCATACAGAGCAATACTCAGCAATATGGCCAAGAAAGGTTCCAACTGTGATCCTTAATGTGACTATTTTCTAATCAACTTGTTGAGGTGGTATTACACACTTCTGGAGGAGAAGGGATTTGAACCCAGGCCTCCTGCCACTGAGGTAGGGACATGGCTCTTGTACTACCAGAGCCCTCACTGACCTTTGACATGAATACTTTCCAATCAATCTGTTCAAACATATTATTACACACCTCTGGAGACAAGTGGGACAGGGAGCCTGAATTCCTGTCTCAGAGGTGGGGAAGCTACTACTGTGCGACAAAGAGCCCTCAATGATCTTTGAAATGTGCTACATTAGTCAATTTAAGCCAGGTCTGGTCTCCGATTAACTGTACTGCTGCGTATGCTACTTAGCCCCTACTTTAGAACAGTGACTGCACTTCAGATGTACTTCATTGGCTAATCATTTCTGGGACATTGAGAGTTTGGAAAAGGTGCCATTCGAGTGTGGGGTTTCCTTTGGAATCGGTCTTGGTAAGTTTTGTTAAATGTTCTAAAAGGAAAGTAAATCTTCATTATGTTGAGTGCTCCACGACACAACTTTACCAAAACACCACATTGATTTCCTGGGCCTTACTACATACATCATGGTTTTACAATAAGCAGAATCATATGGTTCTAAATAGTTCCTTTTTTATACTGCTGCAGTAACTACATCATTCTAATGTCCTTTGAAATGTGATTTTTCTCCATTACCTCACGTCAAGTAATGCTTGGAGAACAGTTCGAAGTTATTGCTGTGACAAGAAAAATAATTTACATATTCAAAGTGTAAAACACTAGATTTTATCATGAGATGAGTGGGCTGATGTTGTTCACTCTTATTTACACAAGTGGCAGATGAATCTTGTAGTTAAATGTGAATATCCAAAAGTTGCTTGGGCTGATCTACCATTAGGGGTGTAACTTTGGCACATTACTGGTGAGGCAAACAGCAATGTTCTTGTGAAGTTGCTTCATTTGTATAGTAGATATGATCTAAACAGCCTACATATTCGTATTATAACCTCATAGAGGTAGCCATTTAATAAAGTGATGTATTAATTATTGCTCTGCCACTATTATGTGGAGACTCATTCCTTCAGATATTAATTGTTGTTGGGAGACTGTTGTTGGCAAATGTAACAATTTTATCTTCCTTTCTTGCTTTTACAGCTTAACTCCATCTCTAACTTCCCTTTCTTTCTGTACCTGATTTGATATTTGATTCATAATTCCAATTTCTCAGTCCTTGCTTTACTTAGTCTGGTTTGTTAAAGTGTACAGTTATTACCATGTGTATTCAGGTCCCAGATGCCTGGTTCCTTTTGCTGCAACCTTATCAGCCGCCACTTCCAACAAATATCCACTCAGGAAAACTTATAAACCTTAATGCACAAATATGAGTCTATCGAACAGTGAACATATTTCAGCTCCCTAGCTCAGTGAAGTTTAATCCACAAAACATGGGAAGCATTTGCCTTTCAGTTTAGGCTTTTTCCCAGAAGCATTTAAAGCTACATGGGAATAATAAGTGTAATTTTACTACACATATTTAACATCAAGCTAGATAGATAGTTAAAGCATCAAGGAGCTGAGGGCGATAGGAGCTGGCAGAAAACAGGAGTTGAAGCCTATGCCATGATCATTCTCTTTTGACAGGCGATTTGCTGGACTAAAATACCCTATATACTTACTAATTAATATATGCTAACTTAAGTGTCCACTGACAGTGTCCCTACCTCTGTGCTAGGAGGCCTGGGTTCAAGCCCAAAATGCACTGGATATGTAATAACATCCCTGAATTGATCGATTTAAAAATATCTTTCCTTAGATGACAAACCTCTAAATAAGCTTTTGGTCATCTATCAAAATATTCAATTCAACTCAATGTCCAATTTTGTTCAATCATCCCCCATCCCATGAAGCATCTTTGTAACATCCTCCTACATTAAAGGCACTATATGAATACAAGTTGTTGTTATTGCTGTTGTGAAGTCATTTAGAAGAGAAGCATTTGAAGCAGATTAAGCTGCAAGACTTGGGAAGAAAACAGAATGCAAGTTTTGTGTGCATGGCTAAAATATTGACTCTTCCAAGACCCATGTTTTCAAAGACTACCCCTGACTACTACTAAAAACACTACTGCATGTTTTAGTACACATCACCTTTTTAACAGTATTAGCTGCACAATTCTAGATTAAGGGACAAGTCTGAATGTTAGGCATCAGATAAGCAAGGGGTCGAAGGGGATGGGTGTAAATTTGGATAAGTGGCTAGTCTGCCTGAGTGGAGAGGCTTTGTCAAATCTAGCAAGGTGGTTAGACAGATCAGGCAAAGTGGTAGTTAAGTCAGGGGTTAGTCGGATCGCAGTCATCAGATTAGGGAAATGATGGTCATATGTTAGTTGGGTCAGATGACAATGAAAGCAGTGTTGTGATGGGGATAACTGGGACAGGTCGAGGAGCCATAGGTAGGGTGGTTGATTGAGTGGAGAAGTTGTCAGGGTGAGGGCTCTGTCAGATGATAGGGAACAGGTAGCTGAAGCAGCTTGGGTGTCACCTACATGTTCGATGAGGTTTTAATCTGACATTTTCAGCAGATTTATCTGGATACGTATCTTGATTTCTCCCAAATCTTTCCCGCTAACTTAGAATTTGATATATTCATGGAAGATCCAGGGAGAAAGTAAATTGCTCATTAGAAAGTTTAAACTTCTCGGGCAATTTCCACATACGTTTTCACACCAACACATCCACAGGGTGGAGATATACATCACTAGTTGTGTATCCAGCCCCAAATAATCTGGAGACTAGAAGATTTGCCAGCATACTCCTGCAATTTATAATATAAGCCACGAATTGCCTAAGAAAGGCGCTCACTGATAACCTCCATGAGTGTCAAGAAATTCCTGCACTTTTATATTGCACTGCAAATCCAAATCAAAGCCAAATTTAGGTGGAAATTTAACAGTGTAAGGGACCCAGTAGTAATTAAATATTCTGCAGATGGAGACTTTTTTTTTGTTTCAATGAAAAGGAATTTTAATTACCTGAAGCTTCCTTTAAAGAACTTTCCAAATAGGTCAATGGCAGTCAAAGGTTATCTGGATCCAGATGTATTTTTATGTATTAAGTTCTGAAAGGGATGTTTCTGACTGGAATCTCAGTTTAAATAAATGCTAGCTCTACAATTATAGCCTAATCCTTTCCTTGTTTGGTTTTCTTGGCTCTACTATGTTACAATTGAGAGATATTTAAAACTTCTCCAATTTTGGACTAAGCACCTGCATTAATTTGGATCAGGATAAAATTCTCTTCTACTGCCAAACATTATACCTAATCCAAGACCTGATAGGAGATCCTGCAATCCTCAAGTTAGTTATATCTTATGGTTTATTCTTGGGGAAAAAAAGTCATATTTAGAGATCTGCATATCAAAATCAGAACACAACTATCATGTGAAGAAAATCCATTTTTATAATCATTTACAATGAAAACATCATTTAAAATATTTACACAGATTCATCAGTAAAAAGATTGAAGAAGAATAACGAAAAGGGTAGTATACAAGCAATAGTCTACAATGTTGAAGCAACAAAGATAATAGCCAAGTAACAAGGTGACAATTTTACAAAATAGAGTTGGATGTATAGTTTATTCTTAATGCACTCTTTATCTAAAACTTTAATACAACACTTACATTGTAGTGATTGCCTGTTTAAGCATCAAAACAGTGCAGTAGTTAACAGCCAACTTGCAACTGGAATTAATAGATTGAAATAGAAGTGCAACATAAAACCTCATAAATGTACAACCACAACTGGTTTGAAGAAGAACATGATATCTTTGTATAATTATTCATAAGTGTGTGCCACTGCAAATTGCCTACAAAGCGTGCATTATTTTAGGAAAGAATCCATACAACAGAAACAGCAAGAGCTGTGGTTTTTCAACTTTTTTTTTTTTAATTTTGACATGTGTAATAGCTCATGCTAGAACCATCTGTTTAGCTAATAATCAGAAGTAATAAAACTACTTTAAAAAGTTTCTACCAGCTTCTTGTTTTGTTAATTAGTATTTAAGAGCAGCAAGACATGGTTGTAAATACTGTATGTTGTACAAGAAAACACACAAGTGAAATCATGTCATCATAACATTGCAACATGAACTGGCATCCTAGTTGACGAGTACAGATATACCACTTATTTCTGTTTCAAATTATCAGGACAAAGTTCACAGATCGACATTTTTGGTTCAAATCTGACGTGTTAGTCAGTAGTACACTCTGGAGAATTCTTGCTCCTCTTGCTTCTGTCACTATGGTCCCTTTTATCATGGTCTTTATCCCAGTCTGCATTTTTTTCTCTTTCCTGGACTTCTTCGCTTTGCTTTTCCTCACATCTTCCACAGCCTCCATCTTTGTCAATCTCAGGGTCTTCATTTTTAGATATACCCTTTTCTGTCTCTTTGCTTCGTTCCCTTCTCGAGTCCACCCGGTCATAGCTCCTCTCTCTTTCTCTGCTTCGTTCTCTTCTCGAGTCCGCCCGGTCATAGCTCCTCTCTCTTTCTTTGCTTCGTTCTCTTCTCGAGTCCGCCCGGTCGTGGCTCCTCTCTCTTTCTCTGCTTCGTTCTCTTCTAGAGTCCGCCCGATCGTGGCTCCTCTCTCTGCTTCGTTCTCTTCTCGAGTCCACTCGGTCATGGCTCCTCTCTCTTTCTCTGCTTCGTTTTTTTCTGGAGTCCACACCATCATGGCTCCTCTCTCTTTCTTTGCTTCGTTCCCTTCTGGAGTCTGCACGATCATGACTCCTCGCTCTTTCCCGATATCGGTCCCGATCTTTGTCCCTATGCCTGTCTTCATGGCGACTTCTTTTCTCTCTGTCTCTCCCTTTATCATGATCTCTGTCTTTATATTTGTCCTTGCTTCGTTCTGAGTCTCGGTCCCAGTATTTATCCCTCTCCCTTTCTTTGTATCGATCTTTTCTTCGATGATAAGAATCACTATAAAATCTATGTTTGTGATGAGTGTCATGCTCCTTACTAAAGTTATGTTCAGAACGTTGGCTATATCTATCCCAAAGATCACAATGATGCCTTTCTTTTCTATGATCATCTTTGATAGGTTGAAAATTTGACATTCCCGAATTTGGTGCATATCTGTTCACATCAATTGGGTGGTCAGAGGTAAAAGGTGGAATTACTTGGCCATGTGCATGATGTATAAGACCCAAGTGTTGTGGAGGACAGGTAATTGCTGGTAGCCAAGGCATCATGTGGTTTGGGACTAAGGCATGGGTTCCACCAAGATCAGGGGAACGGAACCTCAAATGGGGGTCATTTTGAAGGCTAAAAGGTGGTGGAGGAAGTGGTGGGGGGCGGATTGGCATGAATGAAGGCATCAAATTACCTGGTGGTTGAAAATTTGCATTAGGCGGACCACGTTGAAATGGAAAACCAGGAGAGTGACCTTGAACTTGGGAAAAGTTGTGCAGCTGTGGTAATGGAGGAGGAAATACATTTCCACTCGGTACTGGGCTACCTGAAGAGCTGCCACTGGGCAATGATGTAGACACTACTGACTGAGTTTGATTCTGCGTAGGTAAAGTATTTGAAGAAAATTCAAAATGTGAACTAGGACGTGGACCATGGAAAGAAGGCAATGGGGTAGTTTCTCTGCGAATTGACTGGACAGTCTCAATACTGTGAGTTTCTACCATTTCTGTTTCGGCATGAGATTCTTCTTCATGCGAATAATCTGTCGGTTCTGTTTCTGGTACTGATTTTGAGATATTGTGAAAGACTGGTTGAGAAACTTCTGCAATACAAGGTATTGTTCCTTGCACCACTTTACTGGATTGCTGATGTACTGTACTAATTAGATCTGTAGGAATTTGCTTCGTGGTTATTTCATCTTGTTCTGTATCTAAGGCTTTCTTATCAACTTCCTCTGCGTCCTTTATGTTTATAACACCTTCGTCACTTTTATCTTTTCTGTTATCCATGTATTGTTCTTCTGCATTGTCTTCCACAGACTTGCTTGTTGCAAAACCCTGTTGTTTCCGAACAGCGGCTTGTCTCGGGTCTCTACTTACGTTGACAACCTGTGAGACTCTTGCAAGAACTTCTGGTGTAGAATCCACTTCTTCAGTATTTGTAATAGGTTCAAGTGAAGAAACCTCAATCTTGTGGGTCCCAGGCTGAGATGGTGAACTATCTGAAGCTTCTTTTTGCTCTCTGGAGTTTTCGATTTTCACCTTCTTTACCTTATAATGATGCCGTAATTTTTCATGCTCTTCTTTGTGATTTGGCTGTGATTTTAAAGTTGCAAGACTTGAAAGAAATGCTTCAGTTGAAACATCCGGTGGCTTGTCTTTTAGTGTGAGAGTTGTAAGGAACCCAATTGTCTTTGAAGTTTCAACAACTGTGACCTCATCCGGGACATTATCTGTTTTCTCATTTTCCTCTGGGGGATTATGTACAGAGGAATCTTTAGTATGTTCTTGATTGTCAATTGTTTCTTCAGGTTGTGACGTTTTAAAATCTTTACTAGCTGGAGGCTCCCCTGGTCCAGGTTCACTGGTGGAGACAGAGTTTTCTTCAGTTTCCTTCTCTGCATCTCCCAACAAACTTTGAAGAATATCATCCAGTGGTCTGTTGGATAATTCAAGAGATGTGGATTGGTTTTCCCAGCCGACTAAAACTCCAGGCAGGAATCGTAATGGCTTTGTAGATAGGATAGGAATAGGCTCTGCTGGTGATGAAGGAGGTGTTTTCAAAATCTGAGGGTCAACAGGTGATGACTGTTTGGGTTTATTTCTAAATTTAGGCAAAACTGAAGTGAAGGAATTAAAGAACTGATTTTCTTCATCATCGTCGTCGTCATTTTCACCTTCATCTTCCACATACTCTGGTTTGATTTTCTTGTCTTGAGGTAAACTACTAGGTATTTTCTCGGTTTCAGAAACCTCTTCAGAAGGTGAAGCACTAAATAACCTCTTTATTCTTTGTCGAATTATTAACCCGAGGAGGAGATTCTGGCGCACTACTTCAAGTCCTGTCAATAATAATTAATGATTTGTTATTGCAAAAAATGATGCTGCGTTTACTTAAAAAAAATGATGTCAATAAGATATCTCTAGAATCCTGTATGAAATATTGAATCAACAACTTTAACTACACACTAAATTGTAATTGGACTTTGTGGGACATCTATCGTGATTTAGGAACTTACACACTATTTCACACCTCTAAATTTAATTTCATTTCAGTTAGCAGGATCTGCTGAAAAACAGTTTTTCAACCCATCTGGTTTACTAATGGCCCTTCGAAAAGGAAATCTGCCATGCCTTCCTGATCTGGCCTACATGTGATTTCAGACCCACAGCAATGTGATTGATTCTTAACTACTCTCTGAAATGGTCCTAGTAAGTCACTCAGTTCAAGGGCAATTAGGGATCAGCAATAAATGCTAGCCAAGTCAGTGACGCACATATCCCATGAATTAATAAAAGAAAGGCCACACAATTGGTAAAGGGTCAATTGTATATTAGGTATGTTACTGCGTCAGCATTCTAGAGGTTGTTATTTATGATACAGAGAATACATTGTCCCATTTTCTCTCTTTGGATTTATTTGCTAACAACATTTTAAATTATGGATATACCTCAGACAAGTGGTCCAGCTTCCCACCAGGATAGGTAGAAAAACAGGGACTGTCTCTATCAGGATTCCTCTACACAATGTATTGATTAAAAACTAAATCAGGCTATGTGTGTACACAAAAAAAAACTTGCATGAATATAGTGCCTTTCACAATTGTTTGATGTCCTAAATTGCAATATAGGCAATGATTTACTTCTGAAGTACTGTCATTGCTATTTTGTAGGAAACAGGGCAGCCAATATGCACACATGAAACTCCCACAATCATTAAAGCAGTGATGAATAGATAATTTCTTTTTGTGATGTTCATGGAGAGATGAATAGTGACCAAGACAGCAGGGATGGCACAACTTTGCTACTTTTATCAAGATTGTGCCTTTTATATCCAACAGAGTTAGCAGATGGATCTTAATTTAACATCTGATCTGGAAGATAGCACTTGCAGCAGCGCAACACTCCCTGTACACTGCACTAAGATCTTGGACTTGATTTTTGTGTCCATTTCCTAAAGTGCAACTTGAACCCACAGTCTTTGAATGATAACTAAAAATTAAACTTTTTTTTTTAATTACAATACTTTAATTACAAGATTGCTGGGGATGGAATAATTTAATTATGGATTTTATTAATAACAATTACCATGCTTAATTGTAGATTAAGCACATGATTAATCTAGTAACTAAATAGTTATGAGAGAAAATTACCACTTGACATCTATACTATCTTTCTTATAGGAACCAAGGGTTCAGTCTGATGTTATATGTCAAACCCTTACTACATTAACATTCTACAAACCAACCAAAAAAGCATTAACTGTTATATGAACTCACCAGGTCCATCAAATGGTAACAGCCGGTAAGGAATTTTTTCCGAGCCACCCAAAGGAATAAGATACATGTCCTTAACTTGCTTCACATTGTTGGCTACCACCCCATAACGTTGCCTGCTGTTGAAGTATGCATACAGTGAGGTATAAGTTATCTGATCTTCCTCAGTTACTGGACAAAAACGAATCACACATATCTCCTGTTAAAAACATGAAGAAAATTAACACAAATTAAAAATTTAAATTTACAAATTGGTTTACTAACACTACAGATTAGCTTTTTCCATTTTAGGGAGCTGTCTGTTGTAGCTATGATTAAATGAATAAAATATCAAAATTATTCACAGCTTTAAATGGGCATTTACTGAATAGCAGGCAAGTGCAGCCTGGTACTGTGAGTAAGAGAGTTGATTTAATTATCCTATAAATAATACAAGAAAATTTCTTTATGCATATTCATCATACCTTCAATTACAGCTGTCATATTGATAATGCTTAAGACTAAAATAAATGATATTGTGTAGACATTTCTATTTGTTCACAAATCTAAAATTTGCCATATCTACTTTATTCTGTTATTACTCATGATAGAATCATAGAATGGCTACAGCACAGACAATGTCTATTTGGTGCACCATGCCTAAACTCTCAAACTGCAATTCAGCTAGACCTATTGCACCACCTTTTCCTGTAGCCTGACAAATCTCCTCTCTTCAGGTACTTAAATAACTCTGTTTTGAAAGCCCTGACTGGACCTCCTTTCACCAAACTATTAAGTTGTGCAGTCCAGATCCTAACCACTTGCAATGTAAAAAGGTTTCTTCTCACGTCACGGATTGTTCTTTTCTTAATCACCTTAATTCAATGTTCTCTGGTTTATACTCTACTACCAACAGGAATTATTTCTCTCTATCTACTCAGTCTAGACCATTCACGAATTTGAATACAGTCAAAAAAAATGAATAAGAGTTTACAATAGCTCATTGCAAACGAACAAACAGCTATACCAGTCAAAGAACAAAAAAACTCTCAAAGCCCAAGTCCTTTTTGATAGACATATATTTGAATTTGTACCAAATTAACTGTGATGCCTATTTAGTGTCCAGGAAGTATTTAATTTTGTATAAGCAAATTTAAATTCATTCCAAGTATTTTACTTAGTGTTTCTGCTTTTTCCAGTAATGAATGCTGCTTCACCAACTTCTCAAAAATGTAATCAAAACGGAAAATGTTAGAAATACTCAGCTAGACTGATAATAGCAGTTGATAACCTCTCCCCAAAGCTAGATGAATTTAAAAGTATAACGGAAAATATAACAATTGCAGTATTGTGAGCATTTTCTGTTTCAATTTCTGAGTTCCAGCATCTGCAATGGTTCCCTTTTCTTTTTAAAAGTGCAAATTGACCAATGCCTGTGTTGTGAGTAAAACATGTTCATCAGACAATCTCCATTTCATAATACATGCCGTGTGGCCTAGAACACAAAACATTCATTACATAATTCAATTAAGGAAATTGACTTCGGTTCAGGGTATGGGATGAAATGGGAGATCTCAAAGTCTCTGAAGATACCACAGAAAGAAAATTACACCTCCATGGAGATAAACAAGGATTACAAGACAGCCAAATGAAGCAACATGCTGAGCAACTTGCCAGCTACCTTTACGAGCACCAACTTATTTCTTCATTCCTCAAAATCAAGATGTACAAAGAGGTCATTGGCAGCGGCATTAGTGAAGTAGCAACTGATAGAAAAATCAAACGCGAGAGAAAAAGTGGAATCATAATGGTGCAGGAGGCCATTCAGCCCATCATGTCTGCACCCAGCTTTATTATCTAATGCCAGTCTCCTCCCCTTTCCCCATATCCCTGCAAACCATTAATACTATGTGGTTTCAGAAAGTTCATGAAAAATGTAATATGGAGAAAACTTGAAGCTATCTAGAATTATGAACATAAACCTTCAAAATACAATGGTTAATGAAACTTGATTTTTCTACATTGCAATCTTGACATTTACCATTGTCATTCTTACACCATATTTATGCCAGTGGATCCAGATATTGTTACCACTGATGTCACTTTGTGTATCAGCTCATTTCATATCAATTGAGGATCAATTTGAACTTCAGCACAAAGATTTGAGACTACTGAAATGTGTGTGTACTTGAATATCAGAGAATCTAATGTGGTCTTGTCCAGTTTTTCGTTACTGTCTTCCAATGAAGGTTCTGGTAAGTGTTAAAAGGAGCATTATAAGGGACAAAGTAATGTTCACAGAAATTGTGAATTGTAATCACCAAACCCTCTTCATAGAAAATGAACAATGCTTAAACAGATTATGTGGTCTCCAAGCAAACAGGTCATAAAGAAACGGTTTCTCATGCTAACTGGAGGTAAACAAAGTAATACAAGTGACCTGTTTCTTCCCTTCCTCAGACACTCTGGCCTAGGACACCCTTCATTCATCCTCTAAAATTAACACTTCTGTTGCCCTCCAATTATTAGCGTTGAGTTGTGGTTCATTGGGTTCTAACAGTTTGTGCAGTGATACCCCCAAGAATATGTAATTGCATACACAACCTAAAATAATTTCACTCTCTCTTTCAGCAAATGAGAAGTTCAATTTCATGAAGTTTATTTTAGTTTGTTCTTTGGATGTGGATGTCACTAACTGGCCAGAATTTGTCACCTGTTTCTTAGTTGCCCACGAGCTGCCTCAGCCCACAGGCTGATCCACAATGCCGTTATGGTGATTTTCAGGATTTTGACCCAGGGAGACTGAAGGAGCAGTGATATATTTCCAAGTCAGAACAGTAAATGGCTTGGGTTTGGAAGGTGCTGTCTGAGGATCTTTGGTGAATTTCTGCAAGTGCATCTTGTAGACAGTGCACACTGCTGCTACTGAATGTCAGTGATGGAGAGAGTGGATGTGATACCAATCAAGTGGGCTTCTATGTCCTGAATGGTGTCAAGCTTCTTGACTGTTGTTGGAGCTGCACCCATCCACACTCCTGACGTTGGCCTTTTATTTGATGTATAGGCTTTGGGGAAATCAGGAGGTGAGTTACTTGCCACAACATCCCTAGTGCTCTTGTAGCCAGTGTGTTTATGTGGCGAGTTCAGTTGAGAGTCCGGTCAATATTTACTCCATGGTTGTTGATAGTGGGGGATTCAGCGATGGTAACATTATTGAATGCCAAGGGATGGTGATTAGATGCCTTTCATTGGTGATGGTCTTTGCCTGTCATTTCTGTGGCATGAATTTTACTTCCAACTTGTCAGCCAAAGCCTGATTATCGTCCAAATCTTGTTGCATTTGAACATGGACTGCTTCAGTATTTGAGGAGTCTCAAATGGTGCTGAACATTGTGCAATCATCGGCGAACATCCCCACTTCTGACCTTAGGGTGGAGAGGCGGTCCTTCATAAAAATAAAAAATACTTAACACAAAATTCAAAATCTCACCAACCATTCAATCTTGTTTTAGTGCATGCATCCAAATAGTGAGAATCTAAATCATAGATTCTCTACAGAAAGAGGTCAATAATGCATGTGTCTAGTTGTTGGCACAGAAATTTAAATCAACCCTACTTCATGCTCTTCCCCACTCCCCCAACACTGAAAACTAAGGTTACCAGTTTTCCTTAATCCCTAGGCAGTCCAAAACTATATCAATCCGAAATTACTCCTCCTCTCAGTATGAAATGACCAACTCTTCGTTCCAGGACTGAGCCCACCTAGTACTAGATTCTCCAATTATTGGAAACAGTCTCTCAGGATGGAAACAGCCTCTTAGCATGGACTTTTCAAAGGCTCTATAATCTCATATTTCAATGAAATCACCTCTTGATGTTTTAAACTCCATAGAAAACAGGCTAATTACACTCCATCTCTCCTCACATTCAATCTTCCTCAAAAACAAAATTCAGCTTCCTATCAAACGTAGCACAACCCTCATAATGCATCTAGTATTTTCCCCAAAGGAGAAGTTTGACAGCAACCTGGCAGCTCCCTTTTTAAGTAATGAATTGACAATTTCAGTTTTCCATTCCAAATGCACAATTCCAGAATCTAGAGTTTTGAAAAGCTATATCTGATGCACATGCAATTTCCTTGCCCTAAATTGTTTAATCCAGAGGGTAGTCCCATTATTCTCTTCAATGACATTTTAAAAAAAACTTGTGATAAAGTACATTAGGTTCATCCGCATGTCTTTTTTTAAAAAAATCAAAAAAAATCTTTCCTTGTACCAACTTCAGTCAGTGTCAAAATGGATAAAAACCAAAAGAACTGAGGATGCTGGAAATCAGAACTTTTTTTGGAGAAAGCTCACCAGGTCTTGGCAACGTCTGTGGAGAGAAATCAGAGTTAACGTTTTGGGTCCAATGACCCTTCCTCAGACTGTGAGGAAGGTCACTGGACCAGAAATGTTAACTCTAATTTCTCTCCACAGATGCTGCCAGATCTGCATTTTCCAGAATTTCTGTTTCTGTTTCAAAATGGATAGAGACTGAAATTGTCTTTAATTCTTCATTGTTTCTTAATAGTTTCCCCTCCACTTCTTTTATATGGGTCCACATTACCTTCAACTCAGTTTTCCAATATAATCATAAAAACATTAACTGTTAACTTCCATATGACTACATGTTTCATTTTTTCACCACTTCATTAATTTCACAAAGCTATAGTTTCTCTGGTTTGCTAGATTCCCATACTTCCTTGGAAATCTTTTCACTGAATCTCAGAATTGTTATGGTGCAGAAGGAGGTCCATTCAGTTTCTCCCTACCCACTCTGTCCAAACTCATGATTATTTTGGAAACTTCTAACAAATCTTCTCTTTGCTTTCTCTGTTCCGAGGAAAATAGCCCCAACTTCATCAAAGTGTCCTCATTATTGAAGTATCTCATACTTGGAACCATTTTTTAAAACTTCTATATTCTCTCCAATGCCTTCACATTGTTTCTATACTGCAGCACCCAAAGCTGTACACAATACATCTGCCAAGGTCTAACCAATCATAACCTCACTGCTCTTTTACTTCAACCCTATTTATGAAGTCTAGAATATTGTGTCCTTTATCAACAGCTCTCTCTAGGAATTCCACCACCTTTAATGATTTATGCACATATACACTCAGGTGTCTCTGCTCTCTTTATATCTGTCTGTGCTCTCTGTACCAAAATGTACTTTGTA